GGGCACGACGTTTTTCGTCACCTGCATGTGTACTGTTGCAAGTTGTGTGGGGCTCACGGCTCCCTTGGCTCGCTGCGAAACCTCACGCAGCAATGCAAAGGGAGGTCCAAAGTCCCGAGCACCGCTGCCAACCAGAGAATGTCGATTAGACGGCTGGAGCGTGGGTGTCACCCCAGAACGGGTGTGAAGATTGCTGGGGCCGCCGAGCGCGATGATGACCGCGCGGAGCTCCGCCGTGCTTTATCTTCGAGGCTGCTGGAAGCGGCCAGTGTGCCCGAACCCGCTCCCGATGGAGCGAGCTCAGGGTCTGACTAAACTCGTTTGGTTTTTTCTTGGGCCGCCCTTGTAGTCTGTCGCCCGTCGTCTCCCCCTCCCCCGCCGCATACGTGTGCCTCTTCCTGGTGTTCTCGGCGCTGGGGAGGCTGGCGTGCGACGTGGCCTGGCTGGCGGGGCGGCCCTCCCGCTCGGCCCACGCCCTTGTGTGTGCTGGGCGCTGATTGTACCGGACCACCAGCTCGAGGCTTGCCTCTTGCTGGTGGCGTGCGGTCCGCGCGCTTCTTTCTCCTCCTCCTCCTCCTCCTCCTCCACCTGCTCTCCCGCCTCCCCCAACCTGTTATTCTTCCTCCTCCCCTTCCTCCTCCCCTTCCTCCTCCCTCTCCTCCTCCTCCTCCTCCTCCTCCTCCTCCTCCTCCTCCTCCTCCTCCTCCTCCTCCTCCTCTTTCCTCCTCCTCCTCCTCCTCCTCCTCCTCCTCGTCCTCCTCGTCTCGTCCTCCTTCTCGTCCTTTTCGTCCTCTTCCTCTTTCTCCTCCCCCTCCTCCTTTTCCTCGTCCTCCCACGTCCTCCTCCTCCTCCTCCTCCTTCCTCCTCCTCTCCTCCTCGTCCCCCCTTCCCCCGTTCTCCTCCTCCCCCCTTTCCTTCTCCTCCTCCTCCTCCTCCTCCCTCCTCCTTTTTTTCCCCTCGTCCTCTCCCTCCCCCTCCTCCTCGTCCCGCTTCCTCCTCCTCTCCTCCTCCTCCTTCCTCTCCTCCCCCTCCTCGTCCTCCACCTCCGCCCCCCCTCCTCGTCCTCATCCTCATCCTCATCCTCCTCCTCCTCCTCCTTCTCCTCCTGCTCCTCCTCCTCCTCGTGTTCCTCCTCCTCCTCCTCTTCCTCCTCCTCCTCCTTCTCCTCCTCCTCTAGCTCGTCCGAGGCCGCTCCTGGCCTACGCGGATGGGTGGGGGGGGGAATGCGGGGGCGGGGGCGCTGCCCTGGCCCCCGGCTGCCCGAGATCGCCCGCGCGTCGGGCTCGCGAGGTTGAGGCGCTCCAGGCTTCGTGGGTTGCCTCGAGGCCCGGGCCCTCTCCGCAGCACGAGCGCGAGGCCTCGCATGTTAACTCGAGGCCTCGTGTGTTAAGTCGAGGCCTCATATGTGAACTCGAGGCCTCGAGGTCGAGACGCTCCAGGCCTCGCATGTTAACGCGAGCCCGGGCCTTTTCCGCCGCAAAAGCGCGAGGCGGCGCCAGCACCACCAGCGGCACCCCGCCGCCACGAAAGGGCCCTCCACTGCTCCCTGCGGTGGCGGGGTTGGTGCCGATTCTCCCTTCGCCCCGTGCAGCCAACGCGCCTGGTACGGACGCGCGCCTTCAGCTAGGGTGCTCTTGTGTTCTTGCCTCTGCGGCCCGTCCTGTGCCGTTTTGACTGGTTGCTCGCCGCCCAGAAACTCCCGTCTTCGGCCTCCAAGGGTCCTGCGTCCTTGCCACCCGTCCCTCCTACACGTCTTGACTGTACAATCGAGGAGCGAACAGCATCATAAACATAGCTTCTCAGAGGTCCGCGCGGAGTTCTCCGACAGGCGTCGGGCGCGCCAGGGACGGGGGGCGGGGTCCAGCGCCGATCCAAGAGATCCTGGCGGATGCCCGAGACGTTCTGTTTATACCGTCGTTTGTTCCGGAGAGGGCCTCGCCTTCGAGGGCTCCAGAAGTTGGCACCTCTTTCCAGGGCTCGTTACTCGAGGCGATTCGATTCCGATGGATCCCAATTCCGATTCGATTCGACGTGGGATTCCGGCTCGAATTCCCTTATCTCAATGGAGGCCGATTGGTTTGCCGATTTCCGCCGATTCGATGTCTCCCAACTCGGCTGCCGAATTCCGCCGACCCTACTCATTTCGATCGCCGATCCGACTTATCAATTCGATCTTGGGCTCTCCTGCCTCGTCCTCGGCGGAAGGCCAGCGGATGGCGGCGGAAGCAGAGCGGGGGCGGATCCGCCGGCGGAAGCCCCAAGAGATGACAACCTGCAGGGGGGCAAACACACACACACACACAGACAGACACCACTAATCGTCGATTCCCTTGGAAATATGGGAGAATGTGGGGAGTTGGGGGGGAAGACGAAAACCCACAAAGTATTTGAAAATATGTGACATTCTTGGATGTGTGTGTGTGTGTGTGCATTTATTTGTATGTCCCTGGGCCCCTTCAAACCTGTTGGGATCGAGGGCTCCCAGAACCCGCAACCACCTTTTCGCGCCACTGTCCTCCTCGCGGCTCCTCGCGCCACTCGCAGAATGCAGCGACGTGGTGCAGACTTGCCATCTGACTGGAAAGGTGGGTGGCTGCGCTCGCACGTGGTGCGCAGTCAGCGTTTCCAAAGCGTTCGCGGGTGGATGATAGGAGGGGGAGGAGGAGGAGGAGGAGGAGGAGGAGGAGGAGGAGGAGGAGGAGGAGGAGGGGGAGGAGCAGGAGGAGGACCCAAACCCCCGACTTCATGATTTTTTAATGACGTCGACCCCTGGATGTCTCGACCCATTCCCTGGGACCGGTTTTTCATCCAGAGTTGTTTTTTGACGGTTCCGAGGGCAGCCAAGGGCCCCCAGAGGCCGAAAATTGCATAAAGCCTCCCGTCACGATTTTTCATTACCAGAAGGGGTCTGGGGAGGAGGAGGAGGAGGAGAAGGCGGAAGGTGGCGATAGTGAGATCTAGGCTTGCTGATTATGATTGTGAGCATGTGCCTGTCAGTCACAGAGGAGGGCGAGACCGACCGCCCACCCTCACCGTGTACCCCTTGTCTTCCCCCTTTCACGCCCAGAGTTTAGTCGGGCCTGTCCCTCTACAGGAGGAAACAATCGAAAATGGTCAACAAATAGTCACGGGATGAATGTTTGGTTACTTTTTGGCTATTTGGGCGCATTTTTTCGTATCTTGTCTTCCGCCCAAAATCCGCCTGTAGGGGGACACGCCCAACCTACGCCCAGAGCTCTTGCGCGTGCGGACATGGCGCACATGGTGCACATGTGCAGTTGGTGGGCTCGGGGGCCTCAAGGTCTCTGCCAAAAGCTTCCGTCCGAGGGCGCTTGCCCGGCGACCTCAGGCTCATCACGGTGCGCGCGTGTTCGCCAAAGCCTCGGCCGCTGGCCGGCCAGATGCTCCCTGCACGAGGCTTGGGGCACTTCCTCTACCGTCAACCGGCATAGTGAGGATGAGCCACTTTCCAAGGTCACCCCATGCATCCTTCCCCTTCGGCCCGTCCGTGGCCGCTTTCGATGGCTGCGCCCCGCTCGTAGAGTGTCGGCACGGCCTTCCCAGAGGCCCCTGCTCGCGGGCGGTGTTTCTCCCCCAGTCCCCGAGTTTCGCCCGAAGAGTCTGGCCGCTCAAAAAACTTGGAGAACCCTGGGATACATCCCAAGGGGGCGATTCGGACGCACCCCTATCGAGGATGGACCCCCCCCATTGTATATCCCAGGGTTGGGCCCCAGGTCCACTCGGAAACCCCACGAATCCTGGGATAGGGGTCGACATATCCCCTGTTACCTGCATCCTCCTATCGCGCGTCCTTGTGACACGGGTGGACTGCGGGGCGCCCTCTTCCAGAGCGGCCGGCTCCGGGGCGAGCCGGAGAAGGTGCGCCCCCGTGGAGAGCCGCAGGGCAGCGGCCGCCCGCGGGCGGAGCCGCGGAGAGCCGCACGGCCGCGGGGCGAGGGGGGGGGGGGGGCGAGCGGCGGGGCGTCGCAGCTTCTGCCAGCCGTTTCGGTGCGGTCGCCTCGGGGAGCGCAGGACTCGGATTATCAGGAGGGGAAAAAACACACAGACACAATTAATCGTCGGTTTCCAGGAAAATATAGGAAAATATGGGAAGTGGGTTGGAAGACAAAAACCCAGAAAATATATGAAAATATGGGGAATATTTTTATTTGTGTGTATTTATTTGTGTGTCCTGGGGCCCCTTCAGATTAGCCGGACCTCGGCTTCGCCGACGCTCGTCGACGGGCCCGTCCCGAGCTTTGACGGCGCAGTCGTCGTGGGATGTCTGCGGCGGGAGCTCGCGTCGAGTTCCAGGCTGGGCCTCGTCATCTTCTGGACGGCCGCGCCAAGCCAGCCCGAGTCCCCCGCACCCGAGTCTTACGTCTCTCAGATCGTCGAGAGGACTTCCCACCGCGCCTCGATCGCCCGAGCTTCCCCTCTTCTGCCACTGCGCACTCCTCACGCACGCCGTATCCTGGTGCCAGTGCGCGTGGCCCTCGGTCTTGCGGGGGAGGAGGCCGGCCGCCTTGGTCGATCTTGAGACCGCGTCGGGTGGAGGTATTCCTCCACGCTTCTGCGTGCCAGCTGATGGCACTGGCGGCGCCGCCCGCCTTGCGGCCCCCCTCTCGGCCACGCGGTGGCGCGAGTGGCCGGTGGCGCGCAGACAGGCCCATGTTTGCGCCAGGTCTGGTCGAGGAGGAGGAGGAGGAGGAGGAGAAAAAAGGAGGAGGAGGAGGAGGAGGAGGAGGAGGAGGAGGGGGAGGAGGAGGCGGAGGAGGAGGACGAAAAAGGCGGAGGAGGAGGAGGAGGGGGAGGAGAAACAGGAGGATGAGGAGGAGGAATAGGAGGAGGGGGCGAAGGAGGAGAGGACGAGGAGGGGAGGAGGAAAAGATCGATTGTTTGGGGGAAGACAGGCCCGTCTCCTGGTCGTCCCGCCCACGCCCTTGGCTCCCGAGCGAATCGCGCTGAGCCCTGCCCTTGGTTGCTGCCGCTTCCCCGAGGCGATGGTGAAGAACGCCGTCGTGATGGCAGTCTTCATGGTTCCGCTGCGCCGGGGGAAAGAGGAGGAGGAGGTGAGCGGAGGAGAGAGGGACGGGGAAGACGGGGATAAAGAGGAGGAACAGTGCAAACCCAAGACGCATCCACGACGTTGCAATAAACCCTCCGTCCAAGCTCCCTCTTAATAGGTCGCTGCAAGGGTCCATTCTCATTGGTGAAGTGTCCCGCCGAAAGACAACACCGTGCCAAAACACAAATGTGACCTCTGCGCCCTGACACTCCTAATTCGTGCCAGAACACCATACCTGGGATGTCAAAAACGTGGCGATTGCGTCTGGACCTATTCTTGACGCGCGCCAGAACCCCATTCCTGGGACGTCAACCTCACGAATCCTTCAAACAGTTGCAAATTGTTACGACGAAGGCGCGCAGAACTAAGGCGAGAGCAGCACTATGATAAGCACTGCCGTCCATATTTGAAGCTGCTGCAAGCTTAGAAGACGGCTTTGCGCGGAGCTTTGCGAGAGCCACATGTTGAAAAGGACCCGCCTCCATCCTTGAGACTTTTGGACAGTTCAAGCTTCTCAATATCAAACGATGAGGAAGTCTCAGGCATAACGCCCAGCCCGCCCTACCAACACGTCTGGGGATGTGACAGGGAAGTGGCATCTACGAGAGAAAGCTATGGAAGGGGGATGAGAAAGGGGATGATGAGGAGAAGGAGGTGGAGGAGGATGAGGAGGCGGAGGAGGCTGAGGAGGAGGAGAAGGAGAATTAGGAGGAGGAGGAGGAGGAGGAGGAGGAGGAGGAGGAGAAGGAGGAGTCACAAGGAGGTCTCCACTTGGCTGTCACACGATTCCAGGACGACGGGGAGACACAGGGGGAGAAGGGATGGAGGAGGGGGAGAAGGAGAAGGAGGAGGAGGACGAACCAGGTCGCCGCAGGCGCTGAGGCGCCCGCGGCTGCCCGCGATAAAACCAACAGCAGGGCGCCATGTCGTAGTCAAGGCGGCCCCGGGCGCGCTTACCCCAAGCTGACCACCCGCGAGACGCGCGGGAATGTCTACGGCGGGGTGGAGGAGAAGGACGAGGAGGATGAGCAGGCAGGAGGTGTTGGTAGGTTTTGAAGCGAGGAGGGGGGGGACGATGGCCAGGAAGAGGGATGCAGAGAAGAGGAGGGACACATTCCGGTTGCATCAGAGAAGTGATCGCCCTGGATCGGGTCGATCTTTTGTTTTTTTTGGCTCGTGATGCGCATGTCAGGAGGGACACAAACACACAGACACTATTACTAGTAGACTCCCAGGAAAAGATGGCAAACTATGGGAAGTGTGGGGAAGACGAAACCTCCAAGATGATGAGCATATGGCATATGGAGAATCCTGGGATTTGTGTATTAAATTCGTGTGTCCCTGGGCCCCTTCACTCTTGCTACTTGGCTCGTGATGAGAATGGCATGCGCGCGAGCCGAAGGGCCAGCACCGAAACATGTTGACGCTTGAGCTGGTTTTACACAACGGTCTTCCTCTCTATCCCTTTCCTGCGCTTTCCGCATCTCTCGGCGACGCGCAAACATGGATTGGTGATCCATGGATTTGGCCCGCGGTCGCCAAATCCATGGATCTGCCGGTGCCGCCTCGGTCGGCTGCGGAAATCCGCGATGTCCCATGGAGACGGGACCCGTCACTAATACACTCCCCCTTAATCCATGTTTGCGATCGCCTGAATCTCTCCTCCCCCTCTTGCTACTCCCCCCTCATCCCCCATCGTGCAGTGGAGAAGAAAGAGGAAGAGAAGGATGGGTAGAAACGAGCAGGAGAGGAGGGGTGAGAACGAGAGTCGAGGAGGAGGTGAACAGACGAGGAGGAGCAGGAAAAGGATAATGTGAAAAAGGAAGAGGGGGGGAGGAGGAGGAGGAGGAGGAGGAGGAGGAGGAGGAGGAGGAGGAGGACGAGGAGGAGGGAGGGGGAGCAGGAGGAGGAGGAGGAGGAGGGGAGGAGGGGGAGCAGGAGGAGGAGGAGGACGACGACGCCGACGTGGCGAAGACACCCCCAGACACGGCAGCTCAGAAACTCCTTCCCCTCCTCCTCCTCCTCCTCCTCCTCCTCCTCCTCTCCTCCTCCTCCTCCTCCTCCTCCTCCTCCCGCCTCCTCCTCCCCCTCCCGCCCCTCCTCCCCCTCCTCCTCCTTCCCCTCCTCCCCCTCTTGCAGCGTGCCGGGAGCAGGTCGCGGTGCTCGTGGGCGTCGGCGCCGTGGGGCCCCCCGCGCCTGCCAGCTGCAGCACGGCTGGAGCGCGGGGAGAGAATCGACGGCGAGCCCGGGGTGGGGGCGCGAGAGTGGCGTCGGGAGCCTCGAGACGGGGGTCAGTGCAGACGGGGGTCAGCCAGAGCGCCAGATCTTGCAGGATCCTGCAGCGCCAGGGTCGCATTGACCCGGGTTTGGGTGCAGGGTCTGGCAGGATTTTGCAGGATTCTGCAAGACCTGGCTGACCCGGGTCTGGATTGACCCGGGTCAGAAGATCCCCGATGGCGGCAGGCCTTCCTCGGAAGGCGGCGGGGCTTCTCGGAAGCGCTCGCGCATTCTGAGAAGAGCTCCCAGACCCCTTCGGGCAATGACAAAAATCATGACGGGAGGTTTTTTTGGCTATTTTCGGCCTCTGGGGCCCTTTACCGGCCCTCGGGACAGTCAAACCACGTTTCAGGATGAAAAACCGGTCCAGGGGAATGGGTCGAGACCTCCAGGGGTCGACGTAATGAAACAATCATGCCGTCGGGGGTCTGGGCTCTGTGTCTTCGAGGAAGGCTCAGGAAACTTCTCAGGGGCACGGAGGCCTTCTGAGCCTTCTGAGCCTTCTGAGGAGGCCCGCCCCTCTCAGTTTCCCCCTGGGCTCGCCGCCGAAGAAGACACCGCCACGGAGCTTGCAGCCCTGACCCTCTCGGCCCATGAGAAAAAAAACACGACCGAAGGTTTTGGATCGTCATCGGCCCTGGGTGGCCCTGTCTAGGCCCTGGGAGCGTCAGACAACAATTCACTATGAAAAGGCAGTCCCTGTGAAGAGGTCTAGACCTACGGGAGTCTACGAGGTCATCAAAAATCATTCGGGGGTCGGCACCGAGCTTCCAGATGTCCTTTTTCGTTGGGACCTCTCCCTCAGATCGAGGCGTTGCATTTTTCCGAACCATCCTGTGGTGTTGGGTCCTCGTTTTGAAGAGACAGCGCCCCGCGTTCCTTTTCTCCTCCTCCCCCACCTCCCTGCTCCCATCCTTGCCTTTGCCCCGATTTGGGCACACCTCTCACACGGTTGGGTGGCCCCAGAGGAAGCTTTACCGAAGGCCCCAGTGGCAGGGTTCGCATGGCAGCGCCGCCCCATGTCGGCACACCCCTCACACGTTTCGTGTCCCCATGGGGAGCTCCACCGAAGGGTCCAATGGCAGGGTTCGCATGGTGGCGCCGCTCCATGGTGGCATACCTCACTCGTTTCGTGGCCCCATAGCGAGCCCCACCGAAGGCCCCAGTGGCAGAGTTCGCATGGCGGCGCCGCCCCATGTTGGCATACCCCTCACTCGTTTCGCCAGAGGGAGCTTTACCGACCGCCCCAGAGGCACGGTTCGCATGGCGGCGCCGCCCCATGTTGGCATACCCCTCACTCGTTTCGTGGTACCGGAGGGAGCTTCACCGAAGGCCCCAGTGGCAGGGTTCGCATGGCGACGCCGCCCCATGTTGGCACACCTGTCACACATTTGGTGGCCTCGTGGGGAGCTCCACCGAAGGCCCCAATGGCAGGGTTCGCATAGCGGCGCCGCCCCATTTCGGCACCCCCTCACACGGTCCGTGGCCCCATTGGGAGCTCCACCGAAGACGATACTCACGATTTCGGTACCCACAGCTGCATATGGTCTGGTCTTCCGCCAGGCTAATTTTGTGACACTGGGTGTTTTCGGGCCCCAGGACCATCACAGATCGATCGGGCTCGCAAAATGCCGCAGAAGGCTTGAGTTTGGGGTTTCGTCCGTGTTTTGTGCTACACTCGGATTCCAGAGGCTCCGATTGTGCACAGACAGCCCCCCTCCCCCCCGTTACGTAGCCCCACCAGGCCTCAACAGAAAGCCTACTGTTTCTTCCGCGCCAACTTCTTCCGAACGACCTCTTCCGAACGACTTCTTCCGGACCACTTCTTCCAGACGGCTTCTTCCGATTACTTTTTCCGACGACTTCTTCCGGACGACTTCTTCCGAACGATTTCATCCGGACGATTTCTTCCGGACCATTTCTTCCCGACGTTTTTTTTCCAGACGATTTTTTTCCGGACGATTTCTTCCGAGACGATTTCTTCTGGACGGCTTCTGAGATCTTCCGGGCGAATTCATCCGAAGGTGTCCTCTTCCGAGGCGTCTTCTTCCGAGCGATTTCCGGGAGAGCTCTTCCGAAGTAGTTCTTCCGATGATGATTTCTTCTGGGGCGATTTCCTTTGGGCGAGTTCTTCCGGAAGAGTTCTTCCGGGCGATTTCTTCTGATGGTGATTTCTTTTGGGGCGCCTTCTTTCGGGCCCCCTCTTCCTGGCGATTTCTTCTGGACGATTTTTTCAGAGGGTGAGTTCTGCCGATGCGATTTTTGTTGGCCCCCCCCTCGCTCCTCCTCCTCCTCCTCCTCCTCCTCCTCCTCCTCCTCCTCCTCCTCCCCGCTCTTCCTCCCAGGCCTCCCATTCTCCTCTCATCCCTCCTCACTCCTCCTCCTGCCTCTCCCTCCTCCCTCCTGCGTCTCACCTCCTCTGTCTTGTTCCCTCCGCCCTTTTCCCTCCTGCTTCCTCCCTAGTCCCCCCCCCCTCCCTCTTCGTTCCTCTCTCCTCTTCCCTCCTCCCTCGTCCCTCGCCTTGGCACGTGGCAAAGCCTGCGGGCCAGAAGCTGAAACTATTCCGGTGTGCTCGCCACGTGTGCCTGGGAGGGCGAACAAATGTGCTACCCCACTCTCTTCGAAACGTCCCGACGCTTGCGGGACTGACACAAATACTATTCCGCGCGAGTTGCCAGGTGGAAGCGACGGGGGGGCGAAACACAAACTGCTACACTCCACGACTCGCCACGTGGCAACGCCTGCGAAGCGGAACACAGATTTGTTCGCTCTGCTCGTCACGTGGCAACACCGTGGGAGCGAGACAAATATTGCTCCACATTCCCTGCCACGAGGCAGCACCTGCGGATCGAAACAGAAGTACTCCACTCGACTCGGCACGTGGCAGCGAGGAGGGGCGGCAAAAAATGCTACTCCTCTGTGCTCGCCGCATGGCAACACCACGCGGCAAGGCCTGAATATCATCCCACTCAACTCGCCACGTGGCAACGGCATGGGGAGCGAACGAGAAGTAAGCATACACTCAACTCATCACGTGGCAATGCCGCGCGGACCAAACACAGACAATCCCACTGCACTCGCCACATGGCAGCGTCTGGGTGGGGTGGGGGTGGGTGGGATATTCGCCACGTGGCAACGATGCGGGGCGGGAACACATAGAGCGCCATCCCGTTCGCTACGGGGCAACGACAGGCTGGCGAACAAAGTACAATACATCTTTGCGCGCGACGTTGCCAAACCGCACAATTCTGTTGCATTCGACGTGGCAACGCCGCGGAGGCGAACACCACATTCTACTCGGCACTTGGCTCCAACGCGGACGCAGACGACGATGATTCAGACGACGATGACGACGACGGCAACGACGAGAACGACGACGACGGACAACGATGACGAAGACGGGCGACGATGCCGACGAACACGACGACGACGATGGCGACGACGACGACGACTACAATGACAACGACAATGACAGCGACAATGACAACGACAATGACAATGACAATGACAGCGACGACACCGACGACGACGATGACGGCGAAGATGATGATGATGATGATGATGATGATGATGATGATGATGATGATGATGATGATGGTGATGATGATGATGGTGATGATGATCATCATCATCATCATGATCATCATGATCATCATCATCATGATCATCATGATCATCATGATCATCATGATCATCATGATCATGATCATGATCATGGTGATGATGATGATGATGATGATGATGATGATGATGATGATGATGATGATGATGATGATGATGTGAATGATAATGATGATGATAACCACGCCACCGCCGCCGCCCGCCAGCCTGCCCGGCCGGCCGCCCGCCCGCCCGCGCGCGCGCCCGCCCGCCCGCGATCGCGCGCGTGGCAACGCTCGATGGGCGCAAACTAGTACCTCACTGTACTTGCCACGTGGCAGCGCCTGAGCACGTGGCATGGAAGAAGGCCCGGAATTCATGCTACTCACGTCTATTCGCCACATGGCAACGCCACGTGGCAAGACCTGACTTGAGAGGCAAACAAACATTCTCACGCGGCAATGCCGCGGCGCAGTCTTCCGGGCGAGTTCTTTCGACAGGAGTTCTTCCGGGGCGACCTCGTCTGGGCGACATGGGGGGCGACCAAGAAGTATAAATAATCACGTGGCAATGCCACGCGGACCGAACAAATATACAATCCCACACTACTCGCCGCGTGGCAGCGTCTGGAGGGGCGACAATACAGATTCCATGACCTATACGACCACCCTTCGGGTGATAAGGAGGTTGTGGGGGGGGGAGAGAGCGGGGGGAACCAACATCTGACTCAATCGATCTCATTATCGATCTCACTCAACGGGACACCACGGGACACCACGGGACACTTGTCGATCTCATTATCGGTCTCACTATCGATCTCACTCAGCGGGACACCACGGAACACCACAGGACACCGCGGGACACCTCTCGATCTCACTATCGGTCTCATTGTCGATCTCACTATCGATCTCACTCAACGGGACACCACGGGACACCTCGGGACACCACATCGATCTCATTATCGATCTCACTATCGATCTCACTATCGATCTCACTTTTCCGGACACCACTGGACACCGCGAGACACTTGTCGATCTCACTATCGGTCGCACTCTCGATCTCACTCAACGGGACACCACGGGAAACGACGGGACACTTCGGGGCCACGGCCGGACGGGACACTTCGGGACACCACATCGATCTCATAATCGATCTCACGATCGATCTCATTATCGATCTCACTCAACGTGACACCACGGGACACCACGGGACAGCTGCGATCTCACGATCGATCTCACTATCGATCTCACTTTTTGGGACACCACGGGGCACCTCGGGGCCACCGCCAGACGGACGGACGGAGGAGAAACATTTGTCTTGAGTTCGCCCTAGCAACGGTG